CAGCAGGAAAACAAAATCAGGTCTGAAAATGCAGGACCTGACCACCCTTGGGCTCAAATCTGGGCAAACAGAAGCATATATAAAATGTAAACACTTGCTAAGGCCGCATAGTTACAAATGTCTTTCTGTGCAGTGAAGCTAAACTGAGTATTTTGATTTTATTTAAAGCCTATTTAAATAAATGGGAGCCATTCCACTCAGCAAGCTCAGCGTGAGACCAGGGTCTTTAGTGGGAATTAAGAGCCTCCAACAATCCTATTGTCAAACTTTAATTTTACGGAGTACAGTTTGCAGCGCGCAGGCACAGATGGCATATAACAAATCAAATGAACCAGCCAAATGCTGTCTGCAGAGGAGAATTCACTGTTTCTACCAGCTGACCTTAGATTCACTTTGCAGTCTGCTGCTTGGCCCCGTGTGAAAGAAAACCGTAATTGTTGGTAATGAGAGCAGCAGGATGCTGCCTGAACGAGGGTGGATTTTTAGATTGACACACGCTTCAGAGGTTTCCACAGAAGTATTTGCTGTGCAGAAATACAACAGTGCCCTCAAACTTGGTGGGCAAATACACAGGCGATGCACTCAAAAGATTTTAGAGCCATAAGGGAATATATTATATAGGGGAAAAAACGTTTTGAATTAAGAGTAATCACACTAGCCCTTATTCCACATATATTTCTACTTCCTATATCTGTTATAATACTCTCTCTGTGTATTTGTATCAGTGCACTTGGGATGCTGCTGGCTATCCTGCTGGTTAGACTGACCGAGATGATCTTTCGAGGTCCCTTCTAACTCCTAATTCTGTGATTCTGTCATGCAAACATGAGGAAAAGCTTCTTTACTGTGCGGGTGGCAGAGCATGGCCCAGGCTGCCCAGAGAGGAGCCTGGTGTCTGGGTGTCTGGAGACACCCAAAGCCCTGGCCGTGTTCCTGTGTGACTGCTCTGGTGATCCTGCTGTGGCAGGGGTTGCACTGGGGGAGCTTTCCAGGTCCCTTCAACTCCTGACATTCTGGGATTCTGATTGTGTACACCAGCAATAGCAGCGCCTCGTTACCGTGGATCCTTCTATGCAACTTAATTTTCAGAAAGAATTCTGTCTGAAAACACCAAAAAGAGGTTAACTGCTACAATCAGCAGTGAGCCAGTGTCAACATCATTAGGATGTTGAAGGTTGTTTTCAGTCAAAGGCAAACACTAATCCAATGGGCTAATCGTGCCAAGTGACACCAACCACAGGGTAGCTGCGCTAAGGGATTTATGCCAACATTCCTTTAATTGGATTTGTGGCAATTTGTAAATTTTAAGCTTTTTGTCGTGAAAGTCAGTATTTTTTGCCGATAACTAGGCATGCAGACAGTATTACTGTTCAGGACAGACAACATTCTCAGATGTCTAATACATCTGGTGCTCTCCAGTTATTATTTTGTACACCAGAATTAGTGACTTCGCCCTTTTCATTTTAAGTCTGCAAGTGTATTAGCTCCATTATTAAACATTAACACGTCAGCTTTCAATAAATTATCAAAGCATTTCTTAAAACGCACTCTATCTCCACCAGAACTGGACGAAAACAGCTCCACAGCCCGCTGAGGTTAGTAAGCGTTCCTGCCAAAATCACTGTGGGCATCAGGTCTGGGAGTTACAAATCACTCCTCTAATTGTTAGTGATACAAAGCAAATAAAGGCCATTAGGAATTACCACCTCCATCCTGGATTGATCGGGCATCTGTAAACAAAGAGGAACATCATCAGGAGCAGTTCCTGCACGTTCTGTTAATGCAAGGTTTGCTGCGTAGCCAGAACCGACGAGTTCTTTAATGCACATCAAGGACCCGCTCTATAGCCAAACATTTTGTGTTTCTTGAGCAGCTGAATAAGGAATTGCCCATTTGCAGCCACCCGGTGCTCCAGAACAAACACTCTCAACTAACAGCCAGAGCAGTCGCGATTAACGCACGAGCAGTACCTGATAATAGATAGCAGATACTGTCTCAGTAACGAAATATTTCTGGCTGCTTGAAAGAATAAATGAGAATAAATTCAGCGGTAATCTTACCTGCCGGGATGTTCATCAGCATACAGGAGAAAAGTAAGCCCATAAATGCCATTTTTTCTGCAAGATACTGCTCGTGTTCCTGAAAAATAATCTTTACACCTAGGGATTATTACAAGAGATTAATACTTATGCAAAGTCTCTTATTTCTTCTTGTATGAGGTGAATAGGTTCCAAAACTGATTCTGATTTTTAATTGAGGCATAACAAGATCCAATTACATTTCCTTACTGCTTCTGAACTGCAACTTAGAGCATTAAAATAACCACAGTCCTGAAGTGTGTACCAGTACTTTATTTCCAGGTAGCATAAATCCAAAAGGCTTCTCTGAACTGACATGAAATTAAGCGTCTTTGGAAACAGTTTATCTTGTGGTTAATTCAATTTCACTTCAGAAATTACCTTTCTCTCTCCCCTTTTCTTCTTCTCGCAGTCGTAAAGGTCTGCAGCTCCAAAATTTCAAGAAGATTTCTACTGCCGTGAAATAGCAGCGCTGTTTAAGGAAGGGTGGGACAAACAGTAACGTCACCGAGTCTCTACACCAATCTGATTTTGTTGCCTTCAGGTACCAACATTTTAACTGCTCACATTGGCATTGTATTTCAGCACTGTCCGTGGAGAAGACAGTGGACATTTTCTCCCTTTTTCTCAGAGAAAATCCTGTTCAACTTTGGCAATAACACTTTTGTATTTTAAAGAGGGACAAAATCCAGAGGCAAACTCAGTGATCATGACCTTTGCTGCCCTCCTGATTTTCTTTCTTTCTTCCCCTCAGAAAATACAAATCTTTAGAAATATTATTTCAGCAAATTGCTAGGAGGATATTGAGTTCCCTCTCCAGCTGAGTCACAAAAACACAAACACTGATTTATGTGCTTACTCGGAATCCTTCAAATCTAGACCTTAAAGCCTACACAGGCACTGAGTGCCCACTGAAATCAATTGGCTTACATTAAGTGAAGAAGTACGTCCCCAGACCCCAGCCATGGTAATGGGGTGGGTGGTGCAGCTTCAAAGAAGGTCGATAAGGTCCATCAAATGCATTTTCACATGGTGCCGGTTTCCTGGAAAGAGTCCTCTCCTGATGCCAGGCAGGGGCTTTGGGCTGCACCCTGTGCAGGGGCTGAACAGATCCAGCCCTTCAAAAAGCTCCGAGGGGAGAAGCAGCCTGGAGAATATTCGGACATCTCCATTGATCTTCTTTCAGCACAGAACTCCTGATGGCAGCAGGGGTGGTCAGGGACTGAGAGGTGGCAGGAAGAGTCACAGCATCACAGGATGTCAGGAGTTGAAGGGACCTGGAAAGCTCCCCCAGCCCAACCCCTGCCACAGCAGGATCACCAGAGCAGTCACACAGGAACACGGCCAGGGCTTTGGGTGTCTCCACACAAGGAGACTCCACAACCTCTCTGGGCAGCCTGGGCCATGCTCTGCCACCCTCACCCTCACAAAGTTTGGCCTCATCTTCAGCTTGAACCTCCTGTGCTCCAGCTTGGGACCATTGCCCCTTGTGCTGGCATTGACCATCCCAGAGCAGAGCCTGGCTCCTTCCTCCTGACACTGCCCTTTCCCAATGGATCCCCAGGAATGAGGGCCCCCCTCAGTCTCCTCTGCTCCAAGCTCAAGAGCCCCAGCTCCCTCAGCCGCTCCTCAGCAGGAGATGCTCCACTCCCTCCAGCATCTCTGTGGCCCTGCTGGACTCTTTCAAGCAGTTCCTGTCCTTCTTGAGCTGAGGGCCCAGCACTGGACACAAGATTGCAGCTGTGGTGTGAGCAGGGCAGAGCAGAGGGGCAGGAGAGCCTCTGCGACCTACTCACCACAGCTCTGTGGCTGATGGGGACACGTTGGGGTTCACATCCTCCTAGGAGATCTGGCCGTTCAGGTTGTGTTGCCAAACCTGGCAGCTGTTTCCAGACGGCTCTGCTCTGAGAAGGAGCTACTGAAATGGCAGCGCAGACTTTGCTGCTCATCTTCATGCTGCCACGATCTAATCATATAGTTGCTGATCTGATCTGCTTCCTCTTGGCTGGGAGTTTTCAGTTGCCTTTATGGTCTACAAAATAATTTGTCTACCTCGAATCTAGACACCTCCATTTCCCAACTGCGCCTGTGGGTCCTGACATTGGTGCCGTTGCTCTACCTCATCCACTCGTCTGCAGGACTATAACACAGAGAAAGTCTGTGTACTCATGCAAAGTCCTGGAGCAGAGAGGCTGAGACGAGTGGCCTTGCAGGAGGCCCCAGCTTTGCTGGAGTTTATTCCTATCTACACGCAGAGTTAGTCCTGCCATGAATTAATTAAAGATGTTCTGAGCAAGGGAAAATAAGAGTGCTTTGTAGCACACCAAGCTGTGCCAACTCTTGTGGAGGCTGAAAAGAAAAATATTATGAAAGCAGAACCTATTCCATCTTTGAAAGGCTTTCATCTTCCTGTTTAATGTCTCCTAGGCCTGCAGGATGGGTCCCTACATCAGCCCCACGCTGCCAGCACCTCTGCCCCCCTCGCCTTGGTGACAGCAGCTGCAGGTGGGAGAAAGAAGGTCCTTGCTTGGTGCAGCCATGCCCTTGGCTCCACCGCTGCCTGCAAAGCCACACAGCACTATCCCTTTCACTGCCTAATCTGTACATCCCATTCAGATCAACTAGGAGAAGCCCTGACATGCTAATACACACACAGAACGGTCATTAATTGTAAATAAATAATTGGTATAAAGCTACTTCTGTGCACATCCATCAGTACCTTTTGTTTTGGTGGTCGATAAGGGAGGTGTAGTCCCAAGTGGGAGTGAGATATCATGTTTTGGATTATGACAAAAGAAAACCTTGATGTTCCTGACACAGCCACATCCAGCAGCTCTACCCTCAAGGAATTAACGGTGCTGTAGGAGGATGACCAAGTCACAGAGATTCAGGTTCAGGGTCACTCAGGTCACTGTGTGGTCTGCTGCAATGCTGGGCGATCTTAGGAGGATTCATGTAACTGGTGAGGCTCAGGCTGACATACACCTTTACACCTCCCTCCCTTACTGGTGCTCATTCTGCTGTCTGAAGCTTGGTGTTAGCACTTGCAGAGCTGGGAGGATCCCAGGTCTGACTCTGTTACAGTCTTCCAGCAATTACAGCCTCTCAGTTTAACTCCTATCAAAGTCTTCCATTTGCTAAAGCAGAGACTGGAGATGGAAGTAAATTCTCAGGGTTTCCATAAAGGAGACTTAGGAAATGATAAAAAGAGGATGGGAATTAGCATTTAAAACTGTTGAGGCAGGGGATGCAGCCAAGAGACACAGTGGTTTTAAATGTTGATTGTAATCCCTCTTCTACTACAGCTTCTATTGCTGTGCCTGACTGCTTCTCCCCACTGGATCTGTCTTTTAAAGTATAGCCTCGGACTAGAGAAGAACTGATGAGCTGGATCTGGCATCGTAATCCAGGACAGCACTGCTCCAGTAGCTTGAAGGACTGCGTGGTGGGCTCAGTGTGCCAAACAGGACCGCATCTCCTGGGGCCACCCACAACACACACTGTGCACTGACTCGCACCACCGTGATACACTGCAAGCACATTCATTCCACCTCCTTTCTTTTTGCTCGAGGGCCTCTTTCCTTTCTTCAGACTCCACGCAGAAGACAGTTGAAGTAACAGCAGTTGATGTGCTGGCATGAGTCAGTTTGCAGATCCCTCCATTCATCGTTGCTGCCCTCCAGGCTTCTTCACTGCTGAGCAGTAATAGGAGATGCCATGGTGCCCAGAACTGCAAATTTGGCTCAGCAGCACCCCCGTTTGAGTAGATACTAGAGCATTTGACAGGGCAGCTGCTGAAAGAGTCCAACGTTTTAATTTCTGCTAATACTGAAAAGAAATCCACTGTTTCTCTCTTTTTTCAGAGACACTCATCGGTTCAAAACACTTTTGTTTGCTGACAGCAAGTTCTTCAGGTACCTTATTCTAGAGTTTGCAAGAAATTTTTCAGATAAGGCCACTGACCCCTAAAAGCGTTGCTAAATTATAGAAGAGGCCGATGGTGCTGTGCTTACCCCACCCAGCTGTCCCAGGAGGATCCAGTCAATACGTGCTTTCTGTAGATGGCTCTCAAAGCCAGAAAATCCCACATTCATCAGTCCGCTCTCTAAGAGACAGAAATCAATCGGGGCATTGAGGACGTTTCCCTTGGGAAGAGGGGAAGGCAGCGTGGGCAGCGTGGTTGTTTGTGTGACTTTGCTGCCTGATGGGCACGGCCCTGGAGCTTCCAGCCCCTCTGGAGTGATTCAGCTTTCCTTGTTGATTAACCAGAAACAAAGGAAAAACAGGGAAAAGCAAATTTATGGATGCCTTTGTTTTCTCACTGGTATCACACACACACAATCCTGTAATCCTCCAGGCACTAAAGAAACCCCTGCACATTGTTTTGAAGAACAGAGTATTTCCTATTTAATCAATAGGCAATAGCGCTTGCATGCAGAGCTCTGAGAATGTATTTTAAATCTAAATGGCTTTTACAGCTGCATCTGATGTGCTTTGCCTTTGGCTTGAGCAAAGCGTTCTCTGATGGACTGCAACACTTTTGCACATCGGAAACAACCAGCAGCAGTGGTACCTGCATTTCACTGAGCTATGTTTTATTATTTCCTCCAGCAATTTGGCCCAAATAGTACAGGTCAAAAGGAGATCCACATCACTAGAAAGTTTTGCTCAAACAGCTGTGAATCGCCCAGTATCTTTCAGGCATTCACAGCTTGGTTTTCTGTCCTTTGAGCTCTGCTTTGCTTTTTGTGAACATGAAAGCTCCACAATTTTCTGATGATGCTGGGTTACCCAGGCTAGGAAAACCCAGGGGAAATGAGGAGGAATTGGGTGAGTACAAAGTAAATGTAAAGTAAATGTAAAGTGTGATAGCTGGGCAAATATCTTAACTTTTAAAGGCCCACGATATCCAACCATTCCCACTCAAACTAGATTTGGGTACTACACCAGATGGTTCTAGTAAAATGTTGTTCAGTGCTCAGTCACAGACAAAAAGGCAAATCAAATAGGAATAAAGGAAATAAACCCACAGGG